CGCGGTTCAGCGAACTACGTCTGGTGCACGACAAGCGTCCTCGGCAAGGGCGCCACCGGTGCAGTCTTCCAAGGAGTCGACAAGAACAACGGCCAACCCGTGGCCGTGAAGACATTCAACCAGCTCTCCCACATGCGCCCAATGGACGTCCAGATGCGTGAATTTCAGGTCTTAAAAAAGGTGAAACACGAGAACATAGTGAAGCTCCTGGCGATCGAGGAGGAGCAGGACGGTCGTGGCAAGGTGATAGTGATGGAGCTGTGCACGGGTGGCAGCCTCTTCAACATCCTCGACGATCCGGAGAACACCTACGGCCTCTCGGAGTCGGAGTTTCTCCTCGTTCTGGAGCACCTCTGCGCCGGGATGAAGCACCTGCGAGACAACAATCTCGTCCACAGGGACTTGAAGCCCGGCAACATAATGAAGTACATCGCCGACGACGGCAGTACCATCTACAAGTTGACGGACTTTGGTGCAGCTCGGGAGCTACACGAGGACCAGCAGTTCATGTCGCTTTACGGCACCGAGGAGTACCTCCACCCTGACATGTACGAGCGCGCGGTCCTCAGGAAGCCAGTGGGCAAGACCTTCGGGGCCACCGTCGATCTATGGTCAATCGGTGTGACGCTGTACCACGTGGCCACTGGTAATCTACCCTTCAGGCGAGTAAACACAGTTAGCTGGGTCAATTTATTTCAGTAGCCAAGTGGTAAAACGGTTTAAGGGTGACAAGTGAATTTGGCGATTACCTTGAAAATTTACATTCACCAACAAAGTTATAATTTTTTTAATTAATAGTATTAGACAGATGGTGAACATCGGTGACGATTTTAAAATTTTAGAACTTATGGATATCGAGAAATTAAATGAACAAAATCAGTCTTATACACGGCCTCTTATGGAGTTTTGATTAAATTGAACGTTTCAACCCCCTAGGAACTCAAGAAAAATTTGAAAAAATTTGAAGATATGGGGAATTATGTGTCAATGTGATGGCGATAAAAAACAATGGGGTAGCGGGGTGAATAAGAGAGATATTTCAATCCGCCGTACCCATTTGATCTCATGGTTTCTCGAGATTCGTCACGTGAAATAGAGGATTTTCCGCATTTATTTTCTCGATGTCTAGTTCCGGTTGCGGGTTTGAAATTTCGTCGGATGGATGAATACATATTTCTCCAATGATGGAGGGAAAGAAAAAATGTTTTTTGAATCTTTTTTCAAATTCACTTGGCACCCTTAAGGGGTCACAGAAGGCCACCGTTTCCTCGAAATTTTCAGCTGTGTGAACTTGGACTCGAAGTTTGATAAATCGATTGTCTTTCTTATAGTATCGTAAATTAATTTTTTTTTGCATTTTCGTTTTTCACGATTATCTCGGAAACTATGAGAGATAGAGCCTTAAAACCTATTCCATTCGCTTCCTGAGGAAATTTGGGTTCCCCATAGGCAAATGGACGGCTCAGAATTGCCTTTTTCCACTTCCTAGGGCTTATACAAGATGAATTAAATTAAATTTTTTTGGCATTTTCGTTTTTCGCGATTATCTCGGAAACTATGAGAGATAGAGCGACAAAACTTATTCCATTCGATTCCTGAGGAAATTTGGGTTCCGCAGAGGTAGATGGACGGCTCAGAATTGCGTTTTTCGAATTCCTACACCCTATACCAGATAAATTAAATTAATTTTTTTGGCGATTTCGTTTTTCGCGATTATCTCGGAAACTATGAGAGATAGAGCGACAAAACTTATTCCATTCGATTCCTGAGGAAATTTGGGTTCCGCAGAGGTAGATGGACGGCTCAGAATTGCGTTTTTCGAATTCCTACACCCTATACCAGATAAATTAAATTAATTTTTTTGGCGATTTCGTTTTTCGCGATTATCTCGGAAACTATGAGAGATAGAGCGACAAAACTTATTCCATTCGATTCCTGAGGAAATTTGGGTTCCGCAGAGGTAGATGGACGGCTCAGAATTGCGTTTTTCGAATTCCTACACCCTATACCAGATAAATTAAATTAATTTTTTTGGCGATTTCGTTTTTCGCGATTATCTCGGAAACTATGAGAGATAGAGCGACAAAACTTATTCCATTCGATTCCTGAGGAAATTTGGGTTCCGCAGAGGTAGATGGACGGCTCAGAATTGCGTTTTTCGAATTCCTACACCCTATACCAGATAAATTAAATTAATTTTTTTGGCGATTTCGTTTTTCGCGATTATCTCGGAAACTATGAGAGATAGAGCGACAAAACTTATTCCATTCGATTCCTGAGGAAATTTGGGTTCCGCAGAGGTAGATGGACGGCTCAGAATTGCGTTTTTCGAATTCCTACACCCTATACCAGATAAATTAAATTAATTTTTTTGGCGATTTCGTTTTTCGCGATTATCTCGGAAACTATGAGAGATAGAGCGACAAAACTTATTCCATTCGATTCCTGAGGAAATTTGGGTTCCGCAGAGGTAGATGGACGGCTCAGAATTGCGTTTTTCGAATTCCTACACCCTATACCAGATAAATTAAATTAATTTTTTTGGCGATTTCGTTTTTCGCGATTATCTCGGAAACTATGAGAGATAGAGCGACAAAACTTATTCCATTCGATTCCTGAGGAAATTTGGGTTCCGCAGAGGTAGATGGACGGCTCAGAATTGCGTTTTTCGAATTCCTACACCCTATACCAGATAAATTAAATTAATTTTTTTGGCGATTTCGTTTTTCGCGATTATCTCGGAAACTATGAGAGATAGAGCGACAAAACTTATTCCATTCGATTCCTGAGGAAATTTGGGTTCCGCAGAGGTAGATGGACGGCTCAGAATTGCGTTTTTCGAATTCCTACACCCTATACCAGATAAATTAAATTAATTTTTTTGGCGATTTCGTTTTTCGCGATTATCTCGGAAACTATGAGAGATAGAGCGACAAAACTTATTCCATTCGATTCCTGAGGAAATTTGGGTTCCGCAGAGGTAGATGGACGGCTCAGAATTGCGTTTTTCGAATTCCTACACCCTATACCAGATAAATTAAATTAATTTTTTTGGCGATTTCGTTTTTCGCGATTATCTCGGAAACTATGAGAGATAGAGCGACAAAACTTATTCCATTCGATTCCTGAGGAAATTTGGGTTCCGCAGAGGTAGATGGACGGCTCAGAATTGCGTTTTTCGAATTCCTACACCCTATACCAGATAAATTAAATTAATTTTTTTGGCGATTTCGTTTTTCGCGATTATCTCGGAAACTATGAGAGATAGAGCGACAAAACTTATTCCATTCGATTCCTGAGGAAATTTGGGTTCCGCAGAGGTAGATGGACGGCTCAGAATTGCGTTTTTCGAATTCCTACACCCTATACCAGATAAATTAAATTAATTTTTTTGGCGATTTCGTTTTTCGCGATTATCTCGGAAACTATGAGAGATAGAGCGACAAAACTTATTCCATTCGATTCCTGAGGAAATTTGGGTTCCGCAGAGGTAGATGGACGGCTCAGAATTGCGTTTTTCGAATTCCTACACCCTATACCAGATAAATTAAATTAATTTTTTTGGCGATTTCGTTTTTCGCGATTATCTCGGAAACTATGAGAGATAGAGCGACAAAACTTATTCCATTCGATTCCTGAGGAAATTTGGGTTCCGCAGAGGTAGATGGACGGCTCAGAATTGCGTTTTTCGAATTCCTACACCCTATACCAGATAAATTAAATTAATTTTTTTGGCGATTTCGTTTTTCGCGATTATCTCGGAAACTATGAGAGATAGAGCGACAAAACTTATTCCATTCGATTCCTGAGGAAATTTGGGTTCCGCAGAGGTAGATGGACGGCTCAGAATTGCGTTTTTCGAATTCCTACACCCTATACCAGATAAATTAAATTAATTTTTTTGGCGATTTCGTTTTTCGCGATTATCTCGGAAACTATGAGAGATAGAGCGACAAAACTTATTCCATTCGATTCCTGAGGAAATTTGGGTTCCGCAGAGGTAGATGGACGGCTCAGAATTGCGTTTTTCGAATTCCTACACCCTATACCAGATAAATTAAATTAATTTTTTTGGCGATTTCGTTTTTCGCGATTATCTCGGAAACTATGAGAGATAGAGCGACAAAACTTATTCCATTCGATTCCTGAGGAAATTTGGGTTCCGTATAGGCAGATGGACGGCTCAGAATTGCGTTTTTCGAATTCATACACCCTATACCAGATAAATTAAATTAATTTTTTTGGCGATTTCGTTTTNGCCTTTTTCCACTTCCTAGGGCTTATACAAGATGAATTAAATTAAATTTTTTTGGCATTTTCGTTTTTCGCGATTATCTCGGAAACTATGAGAGATAGAGCCTTAAAACCTATTCCATTCGATTCCTGAGGAAATTTGGGTTCCCCATAGGCAGATGGACGGCTCAGAATTACGTTTTTCCACGTCCTACACCCTATACAAGATAAATTAAATTAATTTTTTTTGGCGATTTCGTTTTTCGCGATTATCTCGGAAACTATGAGAGATAGAGCCTTAAAACCAATTTTGGGTTCCCTATAGGAAGATGGACGACTCAGAATTACGTTTTTCCACGTTCTACACCCTATGAAAGATAAATTAAATTTTTTTTTTGGCGATTTCGTTTTCGCGATTATCTCGGAAAAATTCAGAAAAACGTTTGTATCATTTTTCTGAATAATCTACGACTGTTTTTGAAGCTCTCAATGGTTTGTACTTGGTCTCATTATCATGTACAGTAAATTGTTCCGTTTGTACTGCGATGGGAGTGGAAGTACGGAAGATGAGACGTACCCATATCAAAACTTCACGAACTACATATGGAATCCATTACGATGATTTTACGGTTGATAACAATGGAATCAGGTGATTTGATTAGAATAATAATAATAATAATAATAATGAATAATTTTCGTTGGTACAAACTAGTACATACTAACGATTTAGAAGCTATCTGTATGTTTTCCTGACGTCCTTCATACATTTAAGATTTTAGAAGCGGGTAAAGTATTGAAGGGGTTGATAAATGAAATGGAAAAATATAGTACATACAAGTACTATCCATGCTGAATCCTTGCTCATGAAAATTTTTTCCGTACCTTCATTTCCGACGCTGCACGATTTTTTCAGCACCCCTTACGTCTAGGGATGCGGGGTACAAACGAAAATGAATGTGGTACGTTCAGTTACTCACTGAGTACAATCTATACTATAAGAAAAAAAATCGATTTATCATACTTCGACTCCAAGTTCACACAGCTGAAATTTTCAAACAATTTCGTGCTCAATGTTATATTAATATTTTTTGAACCCACAGCACATTGATCTTGATCATCGCATCTTGGATATTAATGTGCTTCGATTTGTAAAAATATCGATGGCCTTCAGCAGGAAATTTGTTCAAAAATTTGGCAAATTAGCGACATTCTGTTACTCCTTAACTCGACTTATCTGCCAGTAGAGTTAGTCCGGAATATTTCCGAATCTAAGGGAGATAGCGAAATTTTCGTAATTACATTTTTTGTAGCTCTCAATCGGCTCTACAAAAAAGGTTATAAGACAAATTTTGCTATCTTCCTTAGATTTCGAGATATTCGTTGAAAACTGGTCAGAAGTCAAAATTGACTTGTACCGTTTTGTACCATTGATTACTAAACGATTTGCAATCACCCTCTGCTCTCAGAATTTATTAATGTTTATATGTCCCTGCTAACAACCATTGACCCCTTCAGGCCGTTCGGCGGTCGTCGAAACAAGGAGACAATGTTTCACATTACGACGAAGAAGTCCTCGGGGGTGATCTCCGGGAGTCAGACGACGGAGAATGGGCCCATCGAGTGGAGCCGGGATCTCCCGAAGAACTGCAGACTCAGCTGTGGAATCAAGAAAATCGTGACTCCATTGTTAGCAGGTCTTCTAGAGGTCGACAGACAGAGGATCTGGAGCTTCGACAGGTTCTTCAGCCAGGTGACAGACATCCTCTCGAGAAAGGCCTTTCACCTCTTCAATATGCACACGATGCAGTCGATCGTCATCTACCTCCAGCCTGATGACAAATTCCACACGCTGAGGGCTGCAGTGCAGGAGCAGACGGACGTCTCGCCGAGTTCTCAGGTCATTCTCCTCGGGGAATCCCCGATCTCTCTGCTGATTGAGGAGTCGACGCCCGCCAGAGGGTACCCCCTGTCCAAGATCTCGGCGGAGAGCCCTCTGACGCTGTACTCGAGGGACAACAACAACGTCGTTCCACCGATCGTTCCCATTCCCGAGACGAGTAATATCTCTCCGAGCAGTGGTCAGGGGACTGACGCCAGCCAGACGTCTGTGACGTCCTCCCTGTCGTCTGCCTCGACTTCTGACAAGTTGAGGTCTTACGCGGGCATTGAAACGCCGATTGTTTTTCCGACATTCGCGAATATTGTTTCGGTGGAGAACGACGCGAGTCAAGCCAAGTTGGCGTGTTCGGCTGGGCATTCCTGCAAGAGGACGATTGACAAGCTAGTCTCCTCGAGTAAGCTGTCGCAGGAGGCCGTGACGTCCTTCATTGGACTCTTAATCTCGCAGTTGACAAAGCTGCTGCAGAAGGTTGATCGTCTCAAGGAACTGACGAAGGCTCACGAGAAGACGCTTCTGTCCGTCGAGCGTTACGAGTTCTTCTGCAGGCAGGCGTTCACAAAATTGTCCCTCGAGAAGACGATTCGTCCTGCGTCGGCTAGTGAGGCTCTTCAGTTCGACGTGAACGAGTGGAAGAGTGAACTCCAGACGAAGACGAAGCAGTTGTTCAGTGAGATTGCACCGGCTGTGAGTCAGCTGTATCAGAAGTACGTGAAGGACGGGCTTTTGAAGGGGGAGTGGGACTCCTCGACGAGACAATTGGTGTGTCCTTGGAGGAAGAAGGCCAGTGAGAGGGCCTCGGCCCTCGTCGACAGGCTGAGGGATGGCTGGCAGCATCTGCTGAGGGACAGGGCCACGAGAACTCTCACTTACAACGACGAGCAGTTTCACGTTCTCGAGAGGATCAAGGTGACCGAGACCGGGAGGAGGATGAAGATGCTTCTGGAGACGGAGTGCATTCCCTCGATCATTCAGAGGTCGGAGTCACTCGCCGACTGGTACAAAATGGCGCAGACTGTCTACCTGCAGATTCAGCTGTTGGATAAGGATCTTGATAATTACGAACGTAGCTTGGAGGCACTGGCCTATCGACTCGCGGATGAGAGCGCAGAACGCCACGAGGCACTTTGTAAATTACTCGATCAATTACCGAGTGGGCAAACTACGGAGAACGGCTCGCATCTGCCAAGTTGCATCAGGGAGGAGGGGACCAAGATGTGGAGGAATATCTGTGATACGCAGCTGGAGATTCGGGGGATTCTCAAGGAGAATAACGATCTTTTTGATGGCCTTGCCAGGCTTTCGGAGTCCTGCAGGCTGCAGAGGCATAGTGAGGGGAAGAGCGATGGTGATGGTGAGGAAGATGAGGATGAGAAGTCTGGGGGCGATGGCAATGGTGGAAATGAGGAAAAGGAGAATATTCAAGGGTATCGTAAGAATTGCTTTATTAATCATGAATAACGTTTAATAAAATATTGCTGGAATTTACGGATGTCTACGTGAGATGTAGATTTACTTGATCTTTTGTTTTTTGGTATTAAAGATATTTGGTAGTTTTATACATTACTCTATTGGTCAGTTCAAAATACCTCAAGGCCTGATTGTTTTGGTCTTTTTCGTCCTAATCCATTACGTTCATTTTGGCTTCTTTGATTCCCTCCATTTTTTGTCTATCGTTTTCTTAATTGCGACAAGCGTCATTAAGAATGTGGTGACTTGCGTTGCAATGACCAGAGTGCATTCAGGGGATAGGCATTGGATATTCAAGGGTATCGTAAGAATGACTTCATTAATCATGAATAACGTTTAATAAAATATTGCTGTAATTTACAGATGTTTGCGTGAGATGTAGATTTATTTGATCGTTTGTTTTGCGGTATTGACCCTTGAGTAGTCGCAGTTCTTCACCGAACATTGTTGGTCGCACGGCGGGCGATTCGCAGTCCCGTGTATTTTACAATTTTTGTAAAAAAATATTTATTTGTAGTTTACGGGCAATTTCGAACGTTCAAGGAAAAAGGAATGGAGATATCAAATAAGAATAGTGGACGAATAATCCTATAATTTAATTTAATTCAATGGCGAACTGCTAAAATGGTACAAGTCAATTTTGACTATTGACCAGTTTTCAATTAATATCTCGGAATCTAAGGGAGATAGCAAAATTTTTATCATAACCTTTTTTGTAGAGCCAATTGAGAGCTACAACAAATGTTATTACAAAAATTTTGCCATCTCCCTTAGATTAGGAAATATTCCTCAAAAACTCAACTGGGAGATGAGTCGACTTAAACCCCTTTACCATTTCACTACTGAATTTAATTTCATTAGATACAAAATGTTGATCTTTCGAGTGTAAACACTGGAATTTTTTGCGAGTCGAGTGTTCAGAAGATTCTGATAACTGATTGGTGCAAGTATGGACCAAAAAAAATTGTCAATGCGCTCGGTTTATTTGAGAATAGAAACACAAATTTTCATAAATTTTTCATTTACGAGTTTTTCACGTGAGAAAAAAAAATCGACAAAAGCTGCGATTCCCCCATAGTGCGACCACTCAAGGGTTAAGTATATTTGGTATTTTTATACATAATTCTTTTGGCCAATCCAAAACACCAATCATCTCCACCCCTCCTCGCTGTTTCAAGCCTCAAGCGAAGCAAAATGGTTCAAAACCAGTGTTTCTTCCCTCCACAATCACAAACTCATGACCCTCGTCTCACGTCCCCTCAGAAACATCCCTCTCAACAAGTAAATTCAGCCTGTGCCGATGTTTCAGCTCCTTGTGCTTCTCCTGAACACTCTCGAAGTGCCGCAGAAGCCTTCCAAAATCAATTTCACCGTTGCCCCCATTCCTCCCTCCCCTGTCCTTGCCGTCACCTCCAGCAGATATACTAGCTGGAGGAATGGCGGCTAGTCTCCGATGTAGCGTTCCAAACGCATCGCTCTGGGGCAGGATCATGAGTAGCCCATACAGCGTTCGAACGAGATCCTCATTTCTCTCCCGCTCCAGCAGTTCCAGTCTCAAATACGCGAAAATCGGCGACTCAATGAGCTGCACGAGCTTATCAATTTCCGTGAGAAACTCAACAGTAACTTCGATATTGGCAAAAGACCTGACGAGATCACAGGCGTGTGAGTAATTCTGCCCAAGCAAGCAGAGAGCAACAGTCGCCACTGGATTGTGACACCATGACTCGTACAAACAGACAAAAAGCCCTCGACTCTCCTCAGACTTCAGGTTCTTCAACTTGTTCCTGAGATCAAACAGCTCTGAACTAGTCAGCAGTATGACGTTCAGCGACTGAATCATTATGCAAGCGAACCGCAAGTTCTGCTCCTCCAGGAGAATCTCAGCAAGTGTTTTATAGATCTGCTCAGCACTCAGCAAAATACACAGCTCCCTGATGATAAAAGCCCCCCTCTCCTCCAACAAATGTCGATTCTGGGAGAATAGCCTCAGCAGATTAACAATGAACTTCGTAAAGTATTTATTGCCAACTGAGCCAGAGCCATAATCCCCACTGGTGCCGAGAGATTCTTTACTGAATTCTTTATCGTGCTCACTACCAGTGTAATCCGAATTCGATCCGATTATCTCGGCCAGGACAACGAGCGTTTGCTGAACAACATCGTCGGATGTATCCCCCAGAATTCTCATTAATACTGTGAATAATTCCTCGATGTGGTTGTACATTTTGTGGGGAATGTTCAGGAAGAGTAGGTGAATCCACTTTAGAACGGCCACTTTGGTCTGGACTGATGTGTGCATCAAGTGTTTCGTGAGGACTTCTACGACTGATACGAGGTCCAGGGTCTCCACCAGGATCACTCGGTCCTGATTGTTCTGGTCCTTTGGGCTTTGGTCTTGGGCGTTTTTGGGGCTCTCCATCTGTTCTGTCTCTTGTTCCTCGGGAATGATGTTGGCTTTCGATGGAATCGTTTCCTTACTGGTGATCAGCTTCATCAGGGAACTGTTGACCTGCGTCGCAGTGTCCTTTATGCTCTTCCTGTTGTCCCCGTCGTAGGCTAGGCAGGGAAGAATGGCTGTTAATATTCCAGAGGTGTAAGGCAGCATCGTCGGCCCAGAGAGATTCACGAACTCTTTGATCCAGGTGATGGCTGTCAGCTGCAGCAGGTCGTCTGTGCTCTGGGCGTGGGTTATCAGGATGTTTATCATTCCTGCGAAGTCTATTCTCAATGGGTTGGCCTTTATGCTCCGAAGGAACTCCCCCAGGACTGTGTCGGTTATTCGTTTTATCTCCGGGGTTGGGTCCTCCAGGATTTTGTAGAGGCCGTCCAGGATCTCGGGGAGGATCACCACGAAATCCATGTCCGGCACTGCGTCCAGGACCGACACCCAGGATATCACGAACTGGCGGCCGAAGGGGTTCTTTGTGTAGATCTGCTCGCGGAGGAGAGGCATGAAGCCCACTAGGTCGAACATTCCGCTTTCTGTCACGATGTCCTGGAAATTTAAAGGGAAGATTTCATTTGATTTGAAAGCCTTTATTTTCCCCTGTAAACACTCAAGTAATTAGATCACAATAGAAGCACAGTAGTGTTAAATTGAAATTTAAAAGTCTTTCGTATCTCATTTGAGCCTTCTTATCCCGTTGCTACTGAATTGATAGATTGAATTGATGATCGAAGGAGCTTCTTGCGAGGAGTTTATTGGGAAGAGGATTTGCATGAGAGTAGAAACGTAAAATTCATGTTTTTCAGTGAATTTGAAAGCGTCAGAGGGGAAAATACGACAGGAGCTTTGAGAATACTAAATTTTGAATGAAGATGTTTATATGAATTTCAAATGAGCTCTGATGGCGCTATGTAAATATAATATGCTCTTGACTGAGAGGAAGGAAATTTATGAATGAAGTAGACGGTCGAAACTCAACATTTCGAGTTATTATCCTGCAACTGTGGGTTTACATTTGCATGATTGTTGAGAATTTTTGTAGTTTTTTTAAGTTTAAAAACTGAGATTAAGCCTCGAGATGAATGAATATAATGGTCATACCTATAGCAGGGAATCCGAAATATTGTACCGTTCGGAAGGAATATATGAAAGCATCCTGTGGGATTTCTCACGTATTCCGTGGGGACTCAATACGAAAATAATGGACAGTCCAGGGTACTTCACGAGGAGATCACGCGATCATGGGATCTATGGGGATTACTATACACTGAGAGAGAAATAAAAATGGAGTAGTGAAAAATATTTAATTCAACAAAGCTCTTTTTTTCGAGGAGTTTTCAAGGAATATCTCTGAATCTAAGAGAGATACCGAAATTTTCATAATTACCTTTTTCATAGCTCTCAATGTGCTCTACAAAAAAGGTGTTGGCAAAAAAATTCTCATCTCCCTTGGATTTCGAGATATTCATTGAAAACTGCCCAACAGTCAAAATCGACTTAAACCTTTTTATCGCTGCATTGCTGAATTTTTTCTTACGTGCCCACATTGAGAGAAAAACGACAAAGTTCACAATCAAGTCTTACTTGTCCCGAAAAATCTTTGTTTTATGCGAAACAAGGGATAGTAGTTTTTCGTTTCGGCTGTCTAATAATCAGAGACAACAAATGAACCCTTAAATGAAACAATAATAATGACATGATAGCAATCTTGTAACTTGGGGATAAAATATTTGTTGACAAATTTTCCTCCATGAGATATTTTCACCCCGAAAAGGCACCGTCTGGTGTGAATTATCCGCCTCTTGACCCAAATATTTCGTTGCTGTCGAAAGCAGAACAATTATTCGCGTTTGAGACTTTCAAATTCGAACGAAACAAATTCTTTTTTGCCAATTTTCAACTAGCGATTTTGTTGGCCCAAACAAGATCGCAAACTTGTTTGACAACGTGTTTGTTTTTCTCTGAGTGCACCTGAAATTCCTCGAGATAACTTCATCACTCCGAAATTCCACAATCCCCTTCAAATTACCTTCATCAATCTGTCCAACAACTCGGTTGCATTCTTGACACTCTGTTCAGGATCACAAGCGAGTTTACTCAAAGCCCCAAAGATATCCGTGAAAAGTGGCAGAACAGCGCCTCTGGCTATCTTCACGACATTGTACAGACTCTCGCAGGCGTAATAACGTACATGAACATCGGGATCTGAGAAGCACGCCAGAATGGGGTGGATTAGCTCCTCGGTGTACTGTCCAGTGTCCTTTCCCAGGCCAACGGCTATCGCGGCCAATCCTATCAGTCCACCCTTCCTCGTGTGAGAATTATGAGAGGTCGCGAAGTCCTGCCCCAGAACCTTCAGAAGCTTTTTTATCTGGGGAGTGTTGTTTCTCGCTGAAAATTCTTTGACCATCCTGAAAATATGATTTTTTTATGAATAAAAAATTAGCTGATATCATGTAGAAGTCAATATTAAAGTCTTTCATTGCTGAATATTAAAATGAGAAATTTGATTCAACGACCAATTTGTGTATTCTAAAAATATTATTTGTAGAATGTAGGGGAGGTTGGGGTAAAACGGACACTTTTGATTTTTTTTCAAATTTTAATGAGGGGTTGAAATGTTGATGAAATTTAATAATTTTTTTTCAATACAAAGAACAACTCTTTCCCTTTGTGATGAGCCTAAACTTAACTCAATTGATAAATTTGTTTCTGAGTTATGAATAATTTTAAAAAAAGTCTAGTGTCCATTTTACCCCACCCTCCCCTATTCTAGAAATTCTATTAATAATATTACTATTCAATTTACGTAATTATTTATAGAATTTATTTTATAAATGAATAATAAATTCTCTATTCATCAAAAAATGAATAAATGAAAAAATTATCTGACTTTTTCCATCGACAGAAGCCTTTTTATTTCGGAAATCTCATTTCCTGCTGAAAATGCTTTGGCAATTCTAAACATTATATTCTTAGATGAATAAGAAATTATCTGACTTCATATGGAATATTAAAATCCTCTCATTGCTGAATGCTAAAATGAGAAATACGATTTGATGACGAATTTCTGTGAAAATATTTTTGGAAATGTCTTCTCAACAATTCCACAAATTCACATGAATTTAAACAATCATTCTTCTCCATCAGATACTGGAATTATCACTATCATTGAACAGTAAGCAATGCATAGGGGAGGGTAGGGTAAAACGGACACTAGACTTTTTTAAAATTATTCATAACTCAGAAAAAAATTGATCAATCGAGCTCAGTTTAGGCTCATCTCAAAGGAAAAGACTTGTTCTTTGTATTAAAAAAAAAATTATTAAATTGTATCAACATTTCAACCCCTCATTAACATTTTAAAAAAAGGCAAAAGTGTCCGTTTTAGCGAACCTCCCCTAATAACGAATAAATAATAATGAAAGATAAACAAACAGTAAATCACTGGATTCGTAAGAGAATGGACAGAAGAAATTGTTGTCATTTTTTCCATCAACATACGTAAATAATGCATAACCTTACTTCTCAATTTCCACAGCAGCTGGTTTTCTCTTCTCATACATCTTATCATTCAGAGATCTGACACAAGCTGCACTCAGCGGTGCATAATCCCTCTCGGATATCATGACTATTCACCCCAATTGTTTATCCCTTCTCGTTAATCTACGCTTGATAAATAAAAACAAACTGTTCAGCCGCACAATCACACGAGACAGAACTCCCTGTGAGACACGCCCCCTCCATCTGCTCACAAAACACACATGCCCGCGCTGATAACGAAACGTCAGATCATTTTATTTTTTTGACACTTCTGGACATGTCTCCGGACGTCGCGTGCCTGCAGAAGTGACAATCACGTGATACAGCAGAATTCTAACGTATCCCTGACCCCATTACTGACCTGTCTAACGATACCCAATATTTAAAAGGACGTGGAGTTTTTTTCACGGACGAAAAAATTTAATAGAAAAAACCAGCGAATTCGTTAGAAAATCCTATTGAATTTCTGTTGAACTATTCTATTAGTTTTTGGCCGATTCTATTGAAATGTTCAATAGAAAAAGTCAATAGAATCCAATTTTTCTATATAACTTATTCTTTGAGATATTTTCTATAGAATTTCCTCGCCTCAAACTTTCCAAGTTTTTTCGTTTGATTTTCTTGGTGAGAAGAATAGAAAAATAGAATGAAAAAAACTTGGAAAATTTGAGTCGAGCAAGTTCTATAGAAAATATATGAAAAGAATAAGTTACATAGAAAAATCGAATTCTGTTGACTTTATCTGTTGAATTTTTTCTATTGAACATGTCAATAGAATCAGCCAAAAACTAATAGAAAGTTTAATAGAAATTCAGTAGAATTTTCCAACGAATTCGGTAGGTTTTTCTATTAAATTTTTTCGTGCGTGTTCCCCAAGAATTTTGCAAAAAAGAAATTTAATAATTGCAAAAATACAACGGAAAAGGTCGAGATAGAATTTTTCGTGCAGCTTTTCAGGCCCTGAAATTATGTATAAATATTGAATAATAATTCAGTAGCGAAATGGTAAAACGGTACAAGTCAATTTTGACTATTGACCAGTTTTCAATGAATATCTCGAAATCTAAGAGAGACAGCAAAATTGTTATTATAACCTTTTTTGTAGTGCCAATTAAGGGCTACAACAAATGTTATTACGAAAATTTCGCTATCTCCCTTAGATTCGGAAATATTCCTCAAAAACTCAACTGGGAGATAAGTCGACTTAAACCGTTTTACCACTTCGCTACTAAATTTATATAGTGACAAAAACAAAAGAAATTGAACGGAATAATAATCTCTGATTTTATACAGAGAAAGAAAATTAATCGTTTATTTAGTTTATAAATTATTTATCAAAAAATGCAAAAAACATATCAGAGATCATAAAGAGGCCTGAAAAATTCTATCAATTGCAAAAATACAAATAAAACTGTCGAGAAATGGGTAATGAGAATAATAATCTAGATTTTTTTTATTGAGGAGAGATAATCGTCTCCTTAATTTATGAATTATTTTACGAAAAACTTCAAAAAATTGCAAGTAAAAATATCGAAAAATTGAAAAGAGAAGATATAATTATGAAAAAAAATCTAGACATTGAATAAAAAAATCGTCTGGGAAATGATTTAACTCCACTAATTTTTATATTTAAAAAATATAATTTATTACATTAATATCGACGAATCAAGTATATAACAAATATCATGTCACAATCTATGAATCCTCATACACCTGACAGATCCCTAAATCATATTCGGTAAACATTAAAAAGATCATTCCATTATGAGTGATAATTAATCTAATTAATTGCCCCTGTTTACTCTACCATTATGAGATTACACTGTAACGAGATTCTCTTTAATACATGAACCATGATTTTTCCTAATTAATTATCTATGTATACAGTACATAATTGAACCCTACCAACACCCCTGATGCATTGCAGAGTGACTAATTTCTATGTAAAGTGACATAAAAATATCCTGAACTATTTATATCAAATAAATTAACGATACAATCAATTCTACCCTAATACAATACAATTATAGAAAAATAATAACACTGCTGCTGATACTGGTTGAATCACATGTCTAATCGTCAGTCAATTGACAACAAATTCTCTCTTTTCTATAATCATATCAACAAATTAATAAAATCATTATGTACAATCAATTCATTATCAGATGCAAGGACGGACCAATATATCATAAAGAAAGCAATTACTTTCTCAAATAGCTAAACTCAATACTAATTTATTACTTTATTCAACTGAACATGTGTCAATTTTATCATCAATGGGGTTGTGAATGCTTTCGGGCTCACCAAAACCTTTTTTCAAAATTTTGAAAAATTCATTTGGATGAAATTAACATTATATTAATCATTCATCAATCAAATAATGATTTCTTGGTAAGCCCCTGCGTTTCGGAGAGATTCACAGAAAAATTTGCAAATATAATACCTTTTACACAATTCTAGAGGATCCTAAAGTTTCTGGTAATGTCTCAGGGACTGGGTTTAAAAAATGCAAAAGACATTTTTTCGTTTTTTCCCTAAACTCATCGAGCCAAAGATATTCCCAGAAAAATTGCGCCCAATCTTCATTCATTCCTTTTCACAGACCCCAAATCCCTTCTCACGTCACTGTGGCTGTTTGACCTCCAACAACTGCGGATAATTCTCCACAATATTCAGCAGAATCCCATCGATATACGCCCTCAACTGAGCATTGACCTCCTGCTGTTCCTTGAGGGCCTGCAGCACCTCCCCCAAACTCCTCTTCTTCCCCTCCCCATCCAGACTGTCCCTGGAGCCATCCGACATTTCCACCGCAAGACTCTTCGAGTTCTTCTCCAAAGTCGTAGGATTCAACAACAGGAGTTCCCTCCCCACCTGCAGAGCAGCCGCCGCCTGGAGTTCATCCCTGGCCTCTTCCAGACTCTTGTTCTCCGTCTTGAGCCTCGCCACCTCCACCAGCAGCTCCTCAATCCTCCCCCGATCCCTCGCCCTCGCCGCCAGCTCCTCCTTCGCAGCATCCAACATCACTCTCAACTCACTCTCCCTCAGCACAGCCGACCTCTCCCCCTGTCTCGCCCCCTCGCAGACTGCATTCGCCTCCTCCAGGGAATTCTCCAGCCTCTCCCTCTCCTCCCTCGCGACATTCAACTGCTGCCGCAGTCTCGTCACCTGCTCCCTCAACTGGCTGTTCTCCACCTCGAGGCCCTTCATCTTGATCCCACAGTTCTCCAGCTCCAGCTGCTTCTCCCTCTCCAGCCTCGCCATCCACTCCTTGTGCCTCCTCTGTTCCCCCAGGAGTTTCTCCTCATTCCTAGCCTCCGCGTCCTTGGCCGCCTCCTCCAGCATCAGCACCCTCGCCTGCAGTGTCGCATTCTCCTCCTTGACCCTCGCATACCTCTCCGAACTTATCGACAAACTCGACTGATTATCGACGAGCGCGTCCATCTGCTCCTGTATCATCCTCACCCTGTGATTCAGATCGATAACGTCATCCTCCAGCGAAATGTCACTGTACATATCGTCAGTTGCGTCGCAGGTGGAGCCCCTCCCAGAGCTGTTGAAACTTCCGCTCCTGTAGAGTTGGCTGGCTAGTGCATTTGAGCCGAGCTGTCTCTTCCCAGTGGTCGGGGTGCGTCGCAGGGAGGTCCTCAGCCACGTGTGTCGCCCTAGGGTGCCCACAGGGCTGTTGTTGAACGTCTTCGTCGAGTTGCTCGACTGTCCATTCGTAGGCGATGGCGCTGAGCTGCAGCTGCTGCTGCCCTGACTGGGCGACAGCTCCTCGACGTAACCGAAACCCTCGTAATTCTCCTCCAGAACTAGGCCTGATGTGATAGTCGGGGTCCCACCCGGGGCATTGGACACTGCTGTCGATAGGGATGGCGGACCACTCTGACTCTTCGCACCTAGGGGATCACTGTCTCCTGACAAGTCACGCCTACCGGCGACATTCTTGAGGGGAGAATCATTGTGAATGCTGGGAACAGTCTCGGTCGCGGCGATTGTCGTTACTGAGGTCACGGTACTCCCATCACTCAGTGGGGTGACGTCATTCAGTCCCATAGGTGGAGTGTAGGTGGGATGGACCACTTGGGCATCACTGGCCACCTCTGGGCGAGGGGGGCTGCGGGGGTCGAGAGAGTCCGGGTGGCCTTCTGCGGCAAAGGCCCAATTTACCATTCTATGGGGCTCGCGGTTTGGGGTTTCAGCTCGCTTCGCGTCGTCTGGGGCTCATTTTTTGGGAGGGTCATGCTGAAATTCGAGGGAAGGGCGTTAATAATGGGGAAAGGGTTTTGTCCGATGCGGTGGGTGTTGTGCGTTATGCATTGAGAATTCTCAGTGAATTATCTTATTTTATTGGGAGGGGAAAAATTATTTCAACTGAAGAGAATAATTTTTTGAATTCTTCCGTTGAATTTTTAACTTTCTAAAGAATAATTTATTTTTCTAATCATTAAAATCTAATATTCTACTCTTTTAGGCCTGTTTGGTCATTGGATTTTGACATTTTTTGAGGAGGCATACGGAAATTCGAGGGAAGGGAGTTAATAATGGGGAAAGGGTTTTGTGGGATGCGGTGGGTGTTGTGCGTTATGCATTGAGAATTCTCTGTGAATTATCTTATTTTATTTGTTAGTTATTGGGAGGGGAAAAATTGTTTCAACTGAAGTGAATAATTTTTTGAATTCTTCCGTTGAATTTTTAACTTTCTAAAGAATTTATTTTTCTAATCATTAAAATCTAATATTCTACTCTTTTAGGTCTGTTTGGGTCACTGGATTTTGACATTTTTTGAGGAGTGAAATTCGAGGGAAGGGCGTTAATAATGTGAGAATTCTCGGTGAGAATTCTCAGTGAATTATTTTGTTTTATTTGGTATTTATTGGGAGGGGAAAAATTGCTGCAACTGAAGTGAATAATTTTTTGAATCCTTCCATTTTTAACTTTCTAAAGAATATTTGATTTTTTTAAAATTGAAATCTAATCTTTTACTTTTTTCATAATGTTCATTATGCATGAACTCCTCTTTTAGAATCAAATAAACGATTTATTTAATTCTAGTAAAGGATTATTAGATGTGAAGCAATTAATTCTCTTCACCGTTTGAGCAATTATTTCAGTTCTAACTATTAAAGTCTTTATTTGGATGGAGTTGAATGGAGTTTATTCAACTCAAACTCCTTCATAATTATTCATGCATCCCGTTATGACTAAAAAAATCCTACTTTCAATCACCAAAACCAACGATTCCCTTCGATCTCTCAAACATAAAAACCTCTATCCCTCGCATTTTATCATAACAAATTCTAAAAAAATCCGAGACCTAATTAACTCGTAGGAGCTGTTCCACATGTGGAAAAACCCATCGGAAAAAAGCGGAAGCGCATGAAAAAAAAATTTATAACAATCGGATTTTCAGTTTTATTAATTTAAATATCCAAACAGAGGATTATTAAGACTTAATAAATTAATTCTTTTGGCCGTTTGAACAATTATTCTATTGACACTGAAAAAACTACTTATTTGACTCAAATAGAATTTATTCAATTCAAACAAACTACTTTGTAATTTTCTATGTATCCCGTTATGAATAGAAAAATCCTACTTTCAATCACCAAAACCAACGATTCCCTTCGATCTCTCAAACATAAAAACCTCTATCCCCCGCATTTTATCATAACAAATTCTAAAAAAAATCCGAGACCTAATTAACTCGTAGGAGCTGTCCCACATGTGGAAAAACCCATCGGAAAAAAGCGGAAGCGCATGAAAAAAAAAGTTTATAACAATCGGATTTTCAGGTGCATTAACAAAAGAACAACACCTTCTAGGGGGAGAGGAGGGGGGACAGACAGAGGTAAAAGTATCTTGACTTGTGATTGTACACGTCAACTTTCGCCGAAAATAGAATAGAAAACAATGGAATATTTTCCTACTGGCGATGCACTCTGATTGTTTTTCCACCGGTTCCCAACAGTCCAAAGGAATTATTTTCATTTTTTTTTATTCTAGGGGGGAAGTGGTAGTGGACTTTTAGTTATATGAATTATTGTGCTGAGAATTACCGTGAATTATAATGCGAAGCAGCTGTTGTCTGTGAGTGCAGCCATACTTGTGCGTATACAACACAAACACTTATTCAGTGGTACCTGTGGTGAACAGTTTGCTGGCACTGAGGTATTTAACCTTAAATTTGAGGGTGAATTTTCGGGAATTATGAAGAATTACGGGGCTCGGGGGGTGGTTGGAGTTTTTCGGGGGTTTTGGGGGGCTCGGGGGGGCGCGATAACGATGGAAATTCAGTGTTTTGGGGAGTGATGAGGGATTTTACACCTGTGCATACCTGTGCACTACTGAGACTACCTGACGAGTGGAGCCGAGTGGAACCGAGTGTGTCGGGCCGTACCACACCGTACCAAACGCCCCTTTTCGTACTATCGGTGGTATTGTATCGCGAAGAGAGGTGGGATATCAGCGGCGAGAGGATACGAAATTGGACGAAGGGTCATCGGGAAATATTCACGGGTTTTTCGAAATAAAATCAGTAGCGAAACGGTAAAACTATTCGTCGATTCTGACAATTGGCCAGTTTTCACTGAATATCCCGTAATCTGAGGGAGACAGCACAATTTTTGTCATGACCTTTTTTGTAGCCCGGAATTCGCTCTACAAAAAAGGTCTTTACGAAAATTTGGTGATCTCCCTTAGATTCGGATTTTTCCAGGGATAGCCACATTCATAAATCATAATTACCGTTAAATTTTGAAGCTGTCGCTTAGCAGACATTACTCTTAAATTTTTAATTATTTTTAGTAATCATTAATTTAATATAATATAAATTGATATCATATAATTTAGTATAAATTGATTTAATATAATTTAGGTAATCCTTTCAAGAAATTAGAATAATTTACATGATGAGAAATTCACAGTCCCATATTATCAAATATTTAATTCATCATCAATCGCAAATTTAAATTATCAACCTCATACTCTTTCTATTTTGATGGGGAATATTTAAATCTTTATCAATGTAAGTCGCAAATTCCTTTAATATTGATGGGTTTTTAATGGTGAATTGTCGTCGAAACAAGTGGTTTTAGGAGAAAATAAGATAAAATCTTTTTTGTAGGTGATGAAATTTCCAACAAAAAATGTCTATTGACTTTTTGCTTCACGATCACTCATCGCCGAGATAATTGCATAGTTAGAAAAAAAACATTTCGAAATTTTCGTTTCTGTTTTTATACTTGTATGTCATGAAAATATCTGTCAAGGTCCCTTCAAATTTTCTCGTGGGCTAGCTTGTTTCACAAGATAATGTCGAAATAATAAATGAGTCTATCTTACCTACTCGTTTTTCGAGATTCTCTCTGCACTTCTCCACTTCAGATAATTCTCCGAGTGAATGCGTGAGAAAAACCTGGTGACTGTGTGGAAGTGATTCACTGAGTCAAGCCTTTGTGACTCTACGTTTGCTTAATGATAATATTGTTGATATTAAAAATAGAATGTTAGTTTCTTCTCAAGCTTTTCGAAATATGTGGAAATATACTTTAAAATAGCTATCATTCATGGAATTTCTGGGGGAGGGTTCGAAAAATAATGTAATCGCTCATAAAATATATTTATTGAATAGTTCTGATATTCACACTTGCATTTTCATGTTCCGCAGAACGTGCTGAATGTCTCGATCATGAGAAAGAAATGCTAATGCAATCATCAAAATGATTCATTAATTCCGCGTCAGTTCTTCATTCCCCCCCCCCCTCCACATATTCATTTAACAATAATATCTTGGAGTTCAAACACATAATCATCACGTCGTGAACATTTCCCATTTTCATTAAAAAAAATCATTTTCCTGCTCATAATTTCTCTAGTAGTTCTCCTCAATATTACTTCATTCATTTATTATACGCTTCCTTACAAATGTCTTCGCAAACTCCTTATATTCTCAAATTCTCATGTGAAATCACTTTTTAACACAAAATAAAAATTGAATATTCGTCTTGCCATAACAAAAAAAAGAAAATCCCCAACTCTTCAAACACATTCTTCACATTATGTACATTTGCCACTCATGAGAAAGTGGTAATTGTCATCAAACTAGCCACTCATTTCCATGGGGTCCACCCAAGACTCTCCACTGGTATTCTCATTACTAATATCATTCGTCGAATCAGTTCCTCCCCATTCGGATTTTCAAAAAGTTCATTAGAGTCTTCGCAAATTCCTTTTATTCTCAAATTCTCATGTGAAGTCACTTTTTAACACAAAATAAAAATTGAATATCCGCCTTGCCATAACCAAAAAAAGAAAATCCCCAACTCTTCAAACACATTCTTCACATTATGTACATTTCCCATCTTCATGCAAAAAAATCACATTCTCGTTCACAATTTCTCTAGTATTTCTCCTCAACAATGACTTCATTCATTTCTTATACACTTCTTTATAAACCATCTCCTGTATCTGCATCCTCAGCAACATTTGCCGCTCCCCCGATAGCTTCTGAATGTGAGGTAATAGACTCATGAGAAAATGGTAATTGTCATCAAGCTGGCCACTCGTTTCCACGGGGTCAACCCAAGACTCTCCACTGGTATTTTCATTACTAACGTCATTCGTCGAACCCATTCCCTCCCCATTCTGTTTCTCAGAGGTTCTGTTAGAGTCCTCGCAACTCGTAAAGCCTTTATCAAAGTCCTCGTCCTCATCCTCCTCTCCATTCTCCTCAACCTCATCAGGTACGAACTCCGGTTCTTCCTTGACATCGATGAAGTTGACGTCCTCACTATCACCGTCGGCAGTCCCAGAGGCTGATGCAGCGCCCCTGATCTTCGTCCTCTTGGTCTTCTTTCCAGAAGTTTGAACAGTCGATGAACGAACGCTCAGGGTCAGAGGATCCACGAATTCCCATCGACCCGAACGGTCCGAGATCGGCGGCTTCGGGAGCATCTGCTCCTTCAGAAACTGAAGGTCCTTGTAGTGCCTCCAAGTCGGCTTGTTCTTCGGGTCTGCCGTCTTCCGGTAGAGAATGTCTTTCTTCATCTCATACCTGAACCTGTCCCTCAGGCCTTTCCATTTTGTTTTGAGATATGGCTCTGGAAAGTTGAGAAGAGGAAAGTCGATCAGTTCACGTTCAAGTTCAAGTTTCCAATAAGGATGTGCAATGTACGTGAGACATTCCAGCAGCGAAGCGGTAAAACAATTCAGTAGCGAAGTGGTAAAGCCGGCTTATCTCCCAGTTGAGTTTTTGAGGAATATTTCCGAATCCAAGAGAGATAGCGAAATTTTCGTAATCACATTTGTTGTAGCTCTTAATTCGCTCTATGAAAAAGGTTCCAACAAAAATTTTGCTATCTGCCTTAGATTCCGAGATATTCATTGAAAATGACTAGTGGTCAAAATCGAATTGAATTGTTTTACGCTTCGCTACCGATTTCATTGCAATTCAGACGCCAGCAAGAATGCTCACTATTTTTTCCACCGTTGCCTGTTATGATTTCGGAAATTGGTTTGGCTACTTCACGTACAAAAAATATCGTAGAAAAATTTAGGGAATTGTATTTTTTAATAGAAATGTTTAATGATAAATATTCCATTGAAAAAGTCAATTGAATTCGATTTTTCTATACAACTTATTCTGTTGAGATATTTTCTACAGAATTTTCTCGGCTCAAATTTTCCAAGTTTTTTTCCTTCCATTTTTCTTTTCTTTTCATCGAGAAGATCGAACAAAAAAACTTGGAAAATTGAGCCAAAGAAATTTGATAAAAAATATCTCAATAGACTAAGTTGTGCAGAAAAGTCTAATTTCACTGACTTTTCTATAGAATACTTCAATAGAATATGCCAAAATCTAATAAAAAGTTCAATAGAAATCAAATAGAATTGTCTAGCGCATTTGTTAGGTTTTTCTATTAAATTTTTTCATACGTGGTTAAATGCCTCAATACGCTCTCTTCAAAAATTTATTAGTTTCTGTGCATGATAGAGTATCTGTCTCCATCTTTCTTCACTCTACTTCTATGTCAGACCACTAGCTTTTCGTTGTATTCTTCAATAGTTATCAATTCCTCTTCATTTTTCGATGATGAACGTAAAAATTCATTTAATAAATAAATAAATAATAATAATATAATATTATAATAATATATAATATATCATATATATCATATATAAATAATATAATATAATAAATAAATAATAATTGCATAAATAAATAAATAATAATAATATAAAGTTCAATATAAATTCAATAGAATTGTCTAGCGAATTCGATTGTCTAGACAATTCTATTGGATTTCTATATTGTTTCGTAGCTATTGGCCTCTGCGGTCATTTGTTGATTTGAGGTGATGAAATTTGTGATGTCCAAATAATAAAAATTGATCAAGTCATTTCGAATGAGTTGTATAGAAGAATCGAATTCTCTCAACTTTTTCTATAAAAAAAAATATTTTCTATTGCACATTCCGACAGAATCAGCCAAAAACCAATAGAAAGTTCAACGGAAATCCCCAGAATTATCTAGCGAATTCGCCAGGTTTTTCTATGAATTTTTTTAAACGTGTTATGCGCAATACCGTTCATGTCACCTAAGTCACATTCGGTACTGATCCTATCGTGACTCCCCGGAGATTCTAGTTCTATTTCGGTTTCTGGCTCTTTCTTGATCTCCGGGACAGGTTCGAAATCCGCCTGAAAATTGGTCTCGTCTTCAGTGGACGGAGTATTTGGAATTGTTCCAGCTTCCTCATCATCCTCGCGACTTTTTAATTTTCTTTTACGCTCTCTCAACGCTCTCATGCGTTCAGCCCCACTTTTTGACGGCTGTCGGGAACTCGACGGCAGGTACAATGCGGCTCTCAAGGCATCATCAGCCTCCAAAACCTCGGGATTAATTCCCGCAGCCAATAGTCTCTTCCGCGCGCGGCACGCTCTCATCCGTTCGGCCCCAGTTTTGGGTGTTCGCCTCGGGACGACTTGCAATGGCGTCCAGTTGGGGCTGTTCAGAGAGATTTCCACGGGGAATTCCCTCACACCTGCCCCCCGGTTCTCCTCCATAATCGCGATTGTATTATTTATTCGCGGCGTCGATCGACTCGATTGCCAGTCTGACATGAACGGTTATGTCACTGTAACGACTATTTTTAAGGTAAGTGACGCAGGCTTGGTTATGCCATCCGCGTGACGCTCAGTCACACCGCGTATGGGACTGGCCAGTGTCGCCCGAGCCGCAATCGATGCTCCCCTTCACAACTTCAATCACTACCACGTGGGTGACGCTGAGTGACGCGGCGGCCATGAGAAATATTCAATAAAAATTACCAGAAAAAAGACGTAAAATAGTATATTTCGTAACGAGTGCAAAAAAGTGTTTTTTGGCGAGTGGGAGGTTTATATCACGAGCCGAAGGCGAGTGATATAATCCTACGAGCTAAAAAACATTTTTTCACGAGTTACGAACAATATTTTTAGGCTCCGCGTGCCTAAAAGTCCAATTTCCGCCACATTGTGATGAAAATTACGTTTCGAAACGTAATCTGGGAGCGAAGTAAAATGCAATAAAAAGTGTCAATCGTCACGTAAATTCTACGATCTGTTCCGTAAAAATTACTCATCCGTCCGACGCCTCACGGCTATCCATGAGTCACCGTGAGGGGGAGATTTTAACAACACGTTCCGTAATTTTTCCGGAACTTTTCGTAAAAATTCTTAAACATCCAAGAATTTTCATGTTCTGAGGCATAATAAGTCTTGAAGTTTCTGTTAGATTTTACAACTTCCAGAAAAATTACGTGACTTTTTCGTATTTTTTCGGTGACAGACCCGAAAATTTACTAAATGTTTCAGAATTATTCTCTTATATTGCTATAGAAATTCACTGAAAACGATTCTCGCTTGCGGATTTCGTGAAATGTTCCGTAATTTTTCGTGAATATTTCTCTCACTGTAGATTGCTATTGGGCTTTTGGCGGATTCTATTGACAAATTCAGACTTATTTAAAGTTGTTTTAAGTGTCAAAAGTGTCGGAGACCCCTGAAAAGAATTTGTGCTCTTCCCCAAGTACCCAATCTCGCCGAAAAGTTCACTTTTCGTCACAGCGTGATGAAAATTACGTTTCGAAACGTAATCTGGGAGCGAAGTAAAATTCAATAAAAAGTGTCAATCGTCACGTAAATTCTACGATCTGTTCCGTAAAAATTACTCATCCGTCCGACGCCTCACGGCTAGCCATGAGTCACCGTGAGGGGGAGATTTCAACAACACGTTCCGTAATTTTTCCGGAACTTTTCGTAAAAATTCTTAAACATCCAAGAATTTTCATCTTCTGAGGCATAATAAGTCTTGAAGTTTCTGTTAGATTTTACAACTTCCAGAAAAATTACGTGACTTTTTCGTATTTTTTCGGTGACAGACCCGAAAATTTACTAAATGTTTCAGAATTATTCTCTTATATTGCTATAGAAATTCACTGAAAACGATTCTCGCTTGCGGATTACGTGAAATGTTCCGTAATTTTTCTTGAATATTTCTCTCCGTGNGAAGTTTCTGTTAGATTTTACAACTTCCAGAAAAATTACGTGACTTTTTCGTATTTTTTCGGTGACAAATCCGAAAATTTACTAAATGTTTCAGAATTATTCTCTTATATTGCTATAGAAATTCACTGAAAACGATTCTCGCTTGCGGATTACGTGAAATGTTCCGTAATTTTTCTTGAATATTTCGCTCCGTGTAGATTGCTATTGGGCTTTTGGCGGATTCTATTGACAAATTCTGACTTATTTAAAGTTGTTTTAAGTGTCAAAAGTGTCCGTTTTGCCCCAACCTCCCCCACTGCGGAAACCCCTGAAAAGAATTTGTGCTCTTCCCCAAGTACCCAATCTCGCTCTTCATCCCAACGTAATAATAAAAACGAAACAAACACAACTAAAGAATATAACCTTACTCTGAACATTCAGTATCGCCGACAGCTCGATCCACATTCGATTCGTAACTTCCCGATTGTGATACAGCACGTGTTTCTGGTTCCACAGTGCCGGTCGCTTGTGCATTTCCGCTATTAACCGAGTAACGTCGACCGTGCAATCCACCTCCTTCATCTTCGGCAACGTAAAACCGCACGTCAGCGATAGCCGTCAACAAATGATGTTCTGTTTTTGCGGTCGTCCCACTTCTAGGTTTTACGGGCTGTTTATCCCTTTTTCAACTGATTGACCGTTATTTTTCAATCAGGATGTTCTGATTAACAGTGGGAGTCGATTGTAATGATTATAAAATTAAAGTCACTTTTTTTAGAAAAAAAAAATTTTACATTCGGAAACAATTCTCGTAACCATGGGGATGAAACCGCTCGCGCGACTGTGTCGCTAGCGCTAGTAATGATCGAGTTCTCCAGTGATTTTTCACTTTTATCTCCTCCGATCCCCGAGATTCAGCAATTTTTTTAGTGTCTGAACGTGAAATTCAGGAGTGCATCCTCGAAATTTGAATTTTCCGTCAATTTTTAGAGTTTATAAACTTTTTATTTTTATTTTTTCGTGTGTTTTGTTTCGTGTGTACACGCTGCACGTCGCGAGTACTATTATTACTATCTGCTAGCGCTACTGCGCATAAAGTGGGACGCATGATGAAGAGTGACGCTAATTGGAAACACTCGCCCGTCCACTCGTGTCAATGGAAACACTCGCTAAAACATAACCACGTGCCGTGTTTTGTTTACTCGTGGGTTTTGCATCCTCACAATTTCATGATTTCATAAATAATTTATTGATTGATGGATTCTCCGGGATATTGGATGATTTAATTAATTGAGTCAATTTAATAATCTATTATTTTTAATAATCTATTATTTAGTTGATTGAGTTAATTGGGGTAGGAATCCGGGGGAAATGGTTCGCGAGGGCTTTGAGCTCATCGCACAAGGCGCTGAAGCGCGAATTTACAAGGGCTCTTACTTGGGGAGGGAAACACTTGTCAAAGAGAGGTTCAAGAAGACTTACAGACATCCGGATCTTGACGAGGCGTTGAGCAAGGAGCGGGTGAAGAATGAGAGTCGAGCTATCGTTCGAGCTAAAATAGCAGGTGAATTATCACTTTAATTCGTCACTAGATTAATTTATACTATTTCATTTTATTTTCATTTCCGTCTTCACAGTTAGATTAATTTAATTGCGCTTAATTTATTATTTTTTGTTTTTTCTTAATTCACAAGAGGTTAAATTGTGTGAAGATCATGATCTGTAACAATTGTGTTAAAGATCAATAAAAAGTGCTTTTTCTTTGTGATCAAAACAAACACAAAACTAAATTTGTTTGACATCTCATTTGGGTGATGGAAAAAGTGGGCGGGAAGGAGTAATAAATTAATTATTCAATGTCTACGGAAAGTTTTGGAATAGATTTTTTTTCGGGCGATGGAAGAATTAATGACGGAAATTGAGAAGTGGAGACTAAAAAATTTAACGGATTATTATTATGCAATTTTATAAATTATAATAAATGAATAAGAAAAACCGGGAAAGTAGACCTTGGAAACCACTAATAACCAAGATGATTAAGCAAATAAAAGATACAGGACAAATAAAATATATGACAGATTCCAAATATTTCACCGAACATCCGTAATAAAACGATTTACATATAAATAAATGAAATTTTTAGCAATTTTGGAATAGTTATTTTCCCAGGAATCATTAATTTAATATTTTCGAGTTAAAAAATGGATTATTCAAAAAAAAAAATCCTTCTGCTCCAAAACAATCTCAATTTAATGGAAATGAAAAATTATCGTGGGGGACTTCCTCGCAGCTCTCGCCTTTCTTTAACGAAAAAGAAAGTTATAAATCTCCTGCCCTCTCCCTTCCATTTCCAGAAAAGAAATATTATAAATCGTCTGCCATCTCGTTCAGTCCCCAGATATTCATAAAAAAGTGAAGTTTTTGATGAATGAAAAATTGAAGTTTTAATGAATAAAAAACTGAAGTCTGATTAAAACTGATTCCACCACTAGATCATCCAGCTCCGACATGATAACGATTTTTCCAGGAGTTTCCACTCCCACAATCTTCTACGTAGACCTAGAAGAGCGCTCCATCTACATGGAGTACATAAATAACGCGATACCCCTGAAACTCCACATAGACACGAAGATTGAAAACAAAATTGATGAGAAAATCTGGATGAATGGCCTCGGCGAGTCTCTGGGAGTATTGATAGCCAAACTCCACTCGAAGCATCTCATCCACGGTGATCTGACCACATCCAACATTCTCGTGAAAAATGAACTGATTGAGGGGGAGGTGACGCGAAACGATGCCTTCATTTTCATCGACTTTGGCCTAGCGAGAATTGATTCGACCGCTGAAGACAAGGCTGTGGATTTATACGTTCTTGAACGCTCGTTATTGAGTTCTCATTCGCAAGTGCCGGGATTGTTCTCGGTAATTATGAATAGTTATCAGGGACATGTGGACGATAAACAGAGGAGGGAAATTGTCGCCAAGTATGAGGATGTGAGGGCTCGAGGGAGAAAACGACTCATGATTGGATGAACTGTTTGTTGTGCTTTCATTTTGTAATGAAAAATGTACTATAAGTGAAATGTTTGGATGAACTATTTGTTGCCCTTTCATTTTGTAATAAAAAATGTGTTATAAATCAATTGCGTTTGGATGGTTTCAATTTTTTGCCCATTTATTTTGGGATAAGAAGAGATGGTTGATTGACGATTGAGGAAAGTTCAATGGAGATTGGGGAAAGTTCAATGGAAATTAATGAATTCTCTGCGATTTCAGGACATGAACGAATTTGTTGGTGATTCTTCTCAATAAATGACACAATACCAATTGAATTATGGGAACGGTTCATTAAAACAAAACAAAGAGATCTTTTTATGATGGAGTCGACAACAAGTGAAGTTTGAATCTTAAAGCAGAAGTCTCTAGGGTTTATTATAATAATTTTGATAAAAAGAGATAATTTTCTTTTTTTAATTTTGAACAAAATTTATTGCAAGAAAAAAAATTTTTGTGTAGCTTAAAATAAGAATAAAAATTCATAAATTTCATTCACTTATTAAGAAAAATAGGGGAAGGGAGACCCATTTGTCTTCAACATTGAACAACACCATCGATTAATCAATAAATTTGTGTTTTATTTTGTTCAAAACGTTTTAAATGTTCAATCGACAAGAAATAAAATGAAAATTATTGGATAACAATATGGAGACGCTGAGCGAGGATCTGAGATACATATGTACAGTATTGAAAATGCAGAGTGGGTGAATCCATGTGCTCAAGTCTGCATATTATGAGGAATTCATGAGTAGGAAATTTGTTCCTGAGACTTTATGTCATTCGAAGTGTAATCCGGAGTATATTATTATCCAAGTCACCTGGAATGCGACCAAATCCAATTAATTAAATTGATTTAAAGAGTGAAATTCAATACAAAAAAGGTAAATATGTTGAATTGTTGTAATTGTTGAAATAGAATTTTAAATGTCAGGAAAAACTTTTTTGTAGAGAATAATTTAGAAAATGAATAAAGAATTCAGGCGCGAAAAAAATTACTGAATTTGATCTTTCTATTCAAATTATTTATTTGAGATATTTTTTATAAAATTCTTCAGCATCAATTTCCATGTTTTTTCCACTCTATCTATTTTCTCTGCATTGAAAAAATTGAACTAAAGAACTTGGAAAATTCATGTCAAGGAACTGTTACAAAAAAATTTTCAATAGAATAAGTTGTATAGAAAGATTCAATTCTATTGACTTTTTTGATAAAATAGTTTCTATTGCATATTTCATTTTAAAAAATTGAAAGAAGGGCTTTAAAAAAATCCATCAATACTTTTTTTGTAAAGGATTTCAAGAGTTTCAAAAAGTTCTCTTAATAAATTCTGAAACTGTTAAGGAGGGCACGATTGATTACCAAAAATCCTGCAAAAGACGTCATAAATCCTTCCTTCGTCAATTCCCAGATGCCCCCAAATTCCTCCTCATCAATTTGTTGGAAATTACTAATGTACAAATACGTTATTCCAGCATTAACAACAACAAATCTGCAAGAATTCAAATTAACTTTATAAAAAATCTGAGAAAAATTCCGATTGTTTGTCAAATGTCCCGTACGAAAAAATTCCATTGAAAAACCTAGCGAATTTATTGGAAAATTAGATTGGATTTTTATTCAACTTTCTATTAATTTTTAAGCTTTTCTGTTGTATAATTTCGCAGCTTATCTGCACCTTTTTGTCAATAGAAATATTCAATGGAAAATATTGCAATGAAACATTTTCTGTAGAAATTTCCAAGTTTTTTCAACTTTTTCTTTAAAGAGAAAAAAAAATTGAGTGAAAAAAAAACAGAAAATTCGTGTCGAGGAATTCGTATAGAGAATTTCTCAATATAAAAATGAAATTCTACTGATGTTTTCTATAAAATTGTTTCCACTGGACATTTTCTATAAAAAAAGTCGCGCAGCAAAGCTGTGAAATTATTCAATAGAAATCCAATAGAATTCGCTAGGTTTTTCTGTGAAATTTCTTCGTTCGTGATCCATAATATAGATACTGACAGCAACAATGCAACAAAGCCTTTGAGGGGGATTATCCCCCATGCAATTCCAATGATCAACCCTATGACCTGTCGACTCCAGTAGATAACATCGAGAAATTCCTCCTAAAACCATCAATTCCCCCCCATTAATTCATATTTCGTAAAAACTCGGTGAAATAAATTTGGAGTCAAGTGTACGAGGTTATGTTTACCTTGTCAGGCCACTCTGAGTTGGCAGTTATGGCACGCGTCCATATACTCAGCTCTGATTTTGAGCCGTTGGCGAGTTTATCACTTTTGGATGGAGACATTACTTAGAATTTATCACTTATAACACTGATTTTTAAGTAAAAAATTGCTTCAGGGGGAGATGAAGGCAATCTATTGCTTATGACTGGGATAACCTCAACTCAACAATTGGGTTGGGATTTTCTTTACCGACTGGTTTCGTCAACAATGCGCTGATTGGGGGGATCAAAGGAGCCGTTTACCGTTTACACCGGGACTTCTTCTGTCCCAATGTGATTCCCATGTCTACTATAATTATCTCAGCTTAAATGTTGTTATGAATCCACTGACTCAAGAGAACACGATTCTTAAAAAATTAAACTTTATTAAAGTTACCATCTCAAAAAAAAGAAAATAGAAATGTAATTGTTTTTAGTAATTTTTATTTTGGAAAAAAAATTTATTCAAAGAAAGATATTTTGACCCTGTCAACAGAACACCCATCCACTTAGTAACCACACTCAACGCTGCTTAGCTTTCCATAACACCATTCGCATTTCTTAATAATACACTGACAAGAATATTATTTAGATTGCGACACGATTCTTGAAGAATCCCAGAAAACAGATTGTGCCAGTGCCATCTAAAATTTAACAGGACACCGGCAATTTGTCCACAAATTGTCGACATACTGTTTGCTGGGATGAAATTGTACTCAAACTATCCACTCAAAATTAAGAGAACATGGAATAGTTCATATTTTCAATAACCTATATTTTGAAAAAAATAAATTATTCAAAGAACATTTTTGCCTCACTTCCTGGTATCATCCATCCATTTTAATTCTGCTCAACCATTTTATCAATTCGCTGACAAGAGGTCCCTTTAAGAAATGAAATTTTATTAAAGTTATCCTCTCAAGAAAAAAATATAAATATAAATGATTTTAGTAATTTTTATTTTGGAACAAGAATTTATCCCAACAGACTCCTGGCATTTCCCCGGTTGCCAAGACACAATTCTCAACTCTCAAAATCGTATTAGACGCTTTCATGAATAATCAAAACAATCCGCGACTACGATACGAAATAAGGAAATAAAAGTCGTGAATAAAATCCCATCAAAGGCACTTCTCAACCTGGATTTATTTCAAAATGTTCATCCTCCATCAATCCATAAAAAACCTACGTCTCATAATACATTATTTCCTAGACTACATGATCATTTCCACAGGGCTATAGATATATCTATTAAAACATGAATATTATATACAAATAAAACCACACAAATAAATTCACTCGTACAATTCCAAGCGTCTGAGCGACTGTTATCACATACCAGAAAATTCACTTATAATAAATGCTCAAACTCCAAGTCACAACTAGAAAATTCACTCAATTTCCTTCACAATATTTGCATTAAACAGAAAAATTAATGGAGAATTCTTAATTTCACGCGATTTCCTAGACTAGGGAATAAATACAAATGATTCTGAAGATGAAAAAATCAGTAATGGAGTGGTAAAATGTCAAATATTGTTGAATCTGAGGGAGATTATTTCAAAATTTTTATGAGGGTTTTTTTGTAGAGAAATATCAAGCTGTTAAAAGTACTATTGACAATTCTACAATTTTTTTGACGATTCTATTGAAGAATTCTGCAGGTTTACTGCCCGTTTTTTAATAGGAAAATTCCACTAGAAACCATTTTATAGAAAAAAATAGAATCTAGTAGTTTTATATAACTTTTTCTATTGTGACATTTTCTATAAGAATTCTTCGACATGAATTTTCCAAGTTTTTCTACTCCTGTTTCATTTTCTCTTCCTAGAATAATCAAACAGAAAAAACTGAAAAATTTGAGCCGATGAAATTCCATAGAAAATATCTCAATAGAATAAGTTGCATAGAAGTATCGAATTCTATTGATTTTTTCTACAAGTTATTTTCTAACCAACATTTCTGTTAAAAAAACGCGCAGATGAGTTGCGAAAATTTCCGATAAAAACTATTTCAGTAGCGAAGCGGTAAAACGGTACCAATTTTGACTCAATTTTGACTATTGACCAGTTTTTAATGAGTATCTCGGAATCTAAGCGAGATAGCACAATTTCTATTACAACCTTTTTTGTAGAGCCGATTGAGAGCTACAACAAATGTCATTACAAAAATTGCGCTATCTCCCTTAGATTCGGAAATAATCCCAAAAAACTCAACTGGAAGATAACTCGACTTAAACCGTTTCATTTCATACCGAATTTCATACTTTTATGCAAGTTCTTCTATTGCGACATTTCCAACAAAAATTCTTCGACATGATTTGTTCCCCTCTAGGGGAGGTTGGAGTAAAATGGACACTTGACTTTTTTAAAAATGTTAATGATAGCTTGAAATGCTGATGAAATTCATTAATTTTTTTTCAATGCAAACAACATTTCTTTCGCATTGTAATGAGCCTAAACTGAGCTCAATTGATAAATTAGTTTCTGAGTTATAACTAATTTAAAAAAAGTCCAGTGTCCATTTTACCCCATCCTCCCCTATTTATCTTTTCTTTTAATTAAAAAAATCACGGAAAAAGTCATGTAAAATGTCCACGACTTTTTTTCGCACAAAGAAAATAAATCCCCTCCCATTTGAGACATTTAGCAAAACCTCACCTCCAAATGACGGTTCCACCGAGTTCTACCCTCCCCTCTCCCCCGCTCCAAAATGACGATTGATGACTGAGCGAATATAAACTAAATCCTTAATAAAAATAATACGAAAATTGGCAGTTCAACCGCAGGTCTGAACACTGGTATTGCCCTCGCCATTGTTGTTCCTCCCGAAGCCTCTGGTGCCATCGGGCCCTGAGGGCATCCTCGTCACGTTCTCGGGCAGATGCGCCATGAGGACGAAGCCACTGTTGCTGCGGGACCTGAAGCCCCCGCAGGACTCGGAAGACGAGGAACACGAGGAGAGCCTCCTGGTGGCCTCGTAGCCGGAGTCCCTGCTGCAGGTGGAGAGTCTCCTGAGGAAGGGCCCGCAGTCGGTGGAGCCTCTCCTCGTCGTCTGGTAGAATCCACTGGGACTCCCGTAGTTGAAGGGCGGTGACTGGCTGGGGCCGCAGCAGGAGTACCTCCGCGACTGATTCGACCAGTAGTTCATCGGGGGGTAGAGGTTGTTGTGGGCATTCTGATGGGGATTGTGGAGGACGGGGGAGGTGTAGCCTGTGTCGGAGCCAGAGGAGCAGGTGGAGAACCGCCGGGAGTAGTTGGAGTAGTTGGTGGTGTCCGAGCTGGACCCTGAGAGACGGCGCACGAGGAGGCCACTCTCCAGCTGGTCTGTCGCTCCTATCACGCACGCGGAGAAACGACGCGGAAGCCAGACTTCCGGGGATGGCGGACCTTGAGACGTTTTTAAGGGGTTTATTTATTTATTTAAACCCACATATAGCCTATGTTGGAGTTCACATTCAAAAATATTCTCAAAAATTCCCAAGTCATTGAACAAAAAAAATTGACATTTCATTAACCCTAGATTGGTCACCATATGAGGAAAACGCCGCAGCCCGTCGTTTTTCTTGAATTGCCATTGAATGGCTGATCGGAAAAATGCAAAAAAATTTGACTTTTCCAATTAAAGTATCTAAAAAATTAGAGTAGTGTCAGAACAACATAATTCTCGAAATTCCTTTAGAAAACAATTTTTTCCTTACAGAGGAATTATTTTTTCCCATGTTGAATGAAATTGCCTGTTACGCGACGTTGCCGGAAACTCGCTAAACGCGCCCGGGCAGTGTAGAGTGAATTTGGCAACGTTCGGGCCTAAATAACAGGGCGGCACTTCCCCGCGGACGTGACCAAAGTCGGCGGCACTTCCCCGCGTAGGGTTGACCAGACTAGGGTTAAATCTCCCATGAACTGAAAAAATTCGTCCGTAAAATTTCGTGCATAACAATTACCTTGATAGGGTATGGGTTGTGGTCCACTGGCGGTAAACCCGTTCTTGGCCCCGGAATCGGTCCTCCTGCCGCCCCTAGCGGCCCTGGAGCTGCGGACCTCCTCGTCGGACCCACTGGGACAGCTAGAAGAATTATATCCATTCTGTCTCGCCGCAATTCTGCTGGCCCCGCTCTTCTTCACCGTCGGCCCCTGTCCCTCCTTGACGAGAATCGCCTGCTTCCGTTTCTTCTCGCCGGCGGACGTCTGCAGTTCAAACATCTTCGCCTCCCCCAGAGACAGCCCCACCGCAGCCCTCGCCGCCGCCGAATCCGTGAACTCAATAACCGCGCATTCCTCATCACTTCCCAGCTCAGATTTCTTGGCAATGGCCTGACGAATCTGTCGACAAACAAATCAATAAATTAACCAAACGGCTCATTAAACGCGTCAGCAAATAAATCAAATCCCAGAAACATAAAAATAACAGAATGAATAACTTGTTTTTGTACCTCTGCTGGTACAGGATGTCCGGGTTTGAGAATTCTAATGAGTGCAATTTCCCCGCACTGGCCAAACAATTCAGCGACCGATTCAATCGTTATTTTATCAACCGGAAGTCTAGCAGCAACAACAGTCCTCGACGGCAGTGTCTGATCATACTGGGGCAGGGGATTGAGCCTCCGCAGCTTCGTCCCCTGTTCATTCACCTGCAACTTTGTCGATTTGGCCCTGAGCGACGCCCCAACAACCCGCCAATCTCTGCTGAGATGCTTCACCCTTTTGAAGCTCGATATGAGCTTCAGGGAGACATAGCCCTCCTTATTTCGCTTGACGTGCTTCAGGAGGAATGCGTCCTTGACGATGTTGTCGTCGGAGAAGTAGAACTCCACCTGCGCAGCTATCTTCTCCGCCAAATCGTCGCTGACCGTTATGATCTCCTGCTGGGGGTCTTCGGCGACCTGCGGCTCCTCACCTGGCGCCTCAGGTGGTGCGGTGTCTGCCGTGTCCTTGAGATTATTAACGCTATTATCACACTGGGTTTGAGAGTCCGAGAGCCTCTCGTTGTCGTCAGTTCCGCTGTTGCAGTCCGACAGGTCAGCCTCCTCCCCTTTGGAACCGCGACGATCAAAGGACAGGCTGAGATCACTGTCCACTGATGATATGCTGTCACGAGTGTCCGATTTCTTCATCGGCGGCGGCACATGCGACAGACTTCCCACCGCGTCCAACGACTCCCGCTGAATCTCCAACTGATCATCCATTCTCACGACTTCTCGGGGTTTGATTTATTCGATGAATTTTCGTCACTTCACTTCACCTCAACTCAATTGCTAGGGTTTCATCGTTCAATTGCAACACCTGAAATGTTTTTTCAGAGGATGTGCTACTCCTCTTTGCGATTTTACGGCCGTCGCTGGAAGAGACAGCTTCGGCGGTCGAGGTGGCAGTGGCCTTTCAATTTGAATTACCTCAGACCTCTTTAAGTACTTTCCCCGGCTGTTGTGCGCCTGCGCCTGCACTACGAAGAGTCTCTTCCACCACCATTTGACGCACCAGGTTCATACCACCTCCATTTCTCGATAATCGTTTGGGGGGTAATGGTGATTATTGTGGTGGGTTTGAAAGGCGCGAGTTACGTGAGAGTATTAGACTCGTTTAACTTCCTTGGGGGAATTGTGGTAGCCGGCAGAGGTTTGTGGCAGGGTCACCAGGACCTCGGCTGGGGTTTCGACCTTCCAGAATGCCGGTCAAGAGTCACTCTATCCTCGTACCACTGAGGCCAATGTTACGTTATTTATAGGTTGTTAACTGGCCGGTTACGGGGATTTTTCGACCGGCGACGGGGGTTGCTCGAAAATTTTGATAAAATCGGGGGAATCACGCACGGAACAGTTTAATAGAAAAACCTATAGAATTCTTTAGGAAATTCTATTGATTTCTATTAAACTTTCTAGCTTTTGGCTCTTTCTATTGACATGTTCAATAGAAAAAATTCAATAGAAAAAGTTAACAGAACTCGATTTTTCTATACAACTTATTCTTTTCATATATTTTCTATGGAATTTGCTCGACTCAAATTTTCCAAGTTTTTTTCATTTTATTTTTATTTTTCTTCTCATCAAGAAAATCAAACAAAAAACTTGGAAAATTTGAACCGAGGAAATTCTATAGAAAATATCTCAGTACAATAAGTTATATAGAAAAATTGAAGTCTATTGACTTTTTCTACTGAATATTTTCCATTGAACATTTCAATAGAATCGGCCAAAAACTAATAGAAATTCAATAGAATTTTCTAACGAATTCGATAGGTTTTTCTATTAAATTTTTTTCTCTTTTCAATTTCACTTTAATTTCAAATTGCATTTGCAATCAAAATTAGAAAATTGAAAAATCGGTCAAAAACAAGGCTTCCATTCTAAAGCAAAAACCGAATCAAATTTCCGGCAGAATTTCAATAGAATGATAATGCAACTCCAATAGAATTAAAAAAAAAATCTTTGATGTACGCAAAATAATTCAGTTCAGAGAATATCGCATTTCCCGATATTTTTTTCCAATTAAAAAAATTATCATCCAATTGCTGAGTAAGTTATACCAAAAAATAAACATCTGTTGACTTTTTGGTATCGAAAAAAATCCTTTTAAAAACATGTGACAAAATTGCATAATCGTGCAACAATCAAGTTGTTTTTTTTTTACAATTTCCTCTAATTAATTTGCAATCAACTTCACTGAAAAAAAAAAGACAGTTCGACCGGGAATCAACCCGAGACACTTCCAACTGATTTATTCGCCCCCGAATCACTCAATCTATTTAAATATCTCTAGAAAATATTAACGTGTTATACTTGAACGCAATCCATTGAACTCCGTTCGAGCTATATCTGGATCTTCTTCGAAAATCCATTGTTGAACGATTACTCAAGAAATAATTGCTGAATTTACTTCATTCATAGCTCGAGATAATCGTCTCAATGGACTGTCTGCGATCGAACATTATGAAATTCGCACTGTATCTTCCCGAGTTATCCTTGAATTTAAGTATCTTCGTGAGAGAAAGCAGGGCTGAATGGATTGTCTTCAATGGTCAATAACTCAAAACTCAAGAGAGTGAAATTCAAAAAATTTTGACCCCATTTTTTAAACAATTCTTGGGTCCAAAATGATGATGGGAAAAGGTAACGGAAATTGAATTCATAAAGTATTGAATTTTATAAAAAATATTAAACTAAAAAAATTGTATATTTCTTTCCGAGTGCGTAAAAGTGTTTTTTCATCACTAGTGCCTAAAGTAAAATTTTACGCACGCGAAGCGGAGTAAAATCCCACTTTCCAGACATCGTGATGAAAAACCGGATTTGACATTCGTGGGAAAATTGTTCTTTGTAGTATATATAATATAATATATAAAAAAAAAAAGAAAATTAAAAATAGTACAGTAAAATTGTATTTCTCAGGGGGGAAATAGTTAATTCATTAAAAGAAACCACAAACAGATGCCTAAAACCTGCAATCAGCCACTTGTTATGACCTCGTGGGGAGGGAATTGCCTCATTGAAGGATTATGATCCCCAGCAGTTGCGGAACGAAGTTTGTTTTATTGAACTAGAATTAATGAACACAGATAATGGAAGATTTTATTGGGTTCGAATCAGCCATTGATTGGAACGATATAAATTATTTATCTATTTATTTGCAACAAAATACATTTATGAGTGAACGTTTCATTAAACTGCTCGACCTTCGCGCGATCGTTCATTAAAATTATTTTTTGTTTTTCTCTTTTTAATTGAAGTGTTTATTGACCATTCTGAGACATTATTATTACGTTTGATTGATCAGTTCAATCGATAAAGTGTAATTGATTGATTATTTCGCAAATGAGAATGTGTAGAGAGAAAATATCAGAATATCGTTTGCAATAATTAATCAAATAGGTAAATTATTATTACATTTAATAATTATTACATTTGATTGATCAGTTTAGTCGATAAAATGGAATTAATTATTTCGTGAATCAGAAAGTTTAGGAAGAAAGTATAAAAAACGGTTTGGAATAATTAAAGAAATTATGGAATAAAATAAAAAATGTAGAATAATCATGTTTATTTTTAATTATTTTTGTTTTTCTGTTCTTGATTGAAGTGTTTATTGATAATTCTGAGACATTATTACATTTCATTGATCAATCGATAAAATTTAGGTTCTTAATTATTTCGCGATCGAGAATGTTTAGAGAACAGTTTAGAATATCATCTGAAATAATTCATTAAGTAAATAACCAAATAAATGAGTTTGATGGGCATTGTTGAGAAAAATAGAGAATAATCATGTTTATTTTTACAAGATGCTTCATAAGATGATTTATCAATGAGTCTCTCATGAAAATTTCATAAAACTCGAAGATATGATGAATCTCGAATCAAACTTTGACGTCACACAAATGGAATAATATACCCACGAGCCAGTCAAAGTATCGAGAAAAATATGAAATAGTAAAAACACAAAAAGTTCCGAGAAATCTCCAGGATATGTTTTCTCATATGAGAAAAAGAAGGATGTGCAAATGTACGAAGGCCAACTGGATTGAATAATACACGGACTATTGATAAATCAAGAATGAAAACTCTGGGGGGGTACACGAGACGGATAAATATATTACATTGCGGAAGAATATTTTCGTAATAAATAGTTACTTTATGTAGACAACTGCAATTTAATCATTCCAGACGATTAGACGGGGCATAACAAAGTGAATGCTTTGGAATTGAGAGAAATAATGATAAACAGAATAAAACAGGAGTCGAGCGCGGGAATAGGATAAATGGATTTTACTTGAGATGAGAATAGATCAGTTGCATCTGCAAATATCTCAGGATTGAAGACAAATAGTGCATTTTTTTCCGCATTTTTTTCGTTGTTTTAATTTTTTTATTACGAAAAAAATTAATTGATTATTCAATTGTTTAATTAAATGTTAAAAGAAATTTTTCGTGTCGTTTTTTTTTGTTTTGACGTTGTTATAACAACAGAATTTGTTAATCAATTATTTTATGTTGTTAATTGTTCATTTTATTTGATGATTCATTTTATTTGTTTGTTTAATTGTTAATTCATCTTCAATAGGCTCGAGGATATTCAATGAAAATTGATCTGCAGAGTTGAGTGCACGTTCTTAACTCATTAGTATCTCCTAATTAAATGATGCGGAACATTTTTTTTCGAAATTAATTGAAAAAAAAAATTTACAAACAAAAATTTTTCAATTGTTATTGAATAATTTTTATTGTTAATTGTTTTTTAATTGATAATTTAACAACTACAAAATTTATTATTCAATTGTTAATTTATCTTCAGTAGATTCGGAGATATTCAATGAAAATTGATCTGGAAAGTTGACTGGACCTTCTTAAATCATCAATATCTCCTGACCAAATGATGCGATCGAGATAAAACAGGTCTCATTTGAAACCCAGAAAAAATATAATCAAAATGAAAAAAAAAATTAGTGAATTTCACTCTGCCGATCTTGAGTTATTGATGATTAAAGAAGCACTCGATTTATTCCCTCTTCCCTATTGTTTCACTCCTTCAATAGTGAATCGAGTTCTAACGAAATATAAATCAACGGGGTATTACATATGTACATTACATTGAGTCTGATAACCTCCAAAAGATCAACGCGATTCGCACCGCATCCGGACGCTGCGAGCATAATAAGATATGGGTCAAGTGCGGCTGGTGTCGCGTAAGGAGCCTTATATCGCCTCGGGGGCACTCAAAGGACGTGTACAACACGTTTGTTCCTTCTCACCAATATGTGGGTATTGAGGAGAAAAAATCTATTTCGAAAATTCGAGAATGTGTTCACAGATCGCATTGCATGAGGAGTGTTTTACTTTTTGAACCGAAAAAAATCGCAAAAAATGAATATTGCAATTCAGGAGGGGATGGCAAGAAGAAGAAAGGAAACTGTTCAGAAATAGGATTAGGATTTTTCTAAAGAGGAATTAAGGTGTTTTAACTTTGGAAATTACAATCCTAATCCTAATTAATCCTAATCCTAGGCAATTCTAATCCTAATCCTTATTTCGGATTGCTTCAATTTTGAGAATTAGGATTTTTTTCATTAGATTAGGTAATTGGGATTACAATCCTAATTCTAACACATCCGAATCCTAGTCAATCCTACGAGTTTTTGAATTGTAAAAAAATGAAAATTGCAATTCAGAAAGGAATTGCAAGAAGAGGAAAGAAAACTGTTAGGAAGTAGGATTAGGATTTTCCTGAAAGGGAATTGAATTGTTTTAATTTTGAGAATTACAATCCTAATCCTAATTGATCCTAATCCTAGGCAATCCTAATCCTTATTCCGTATTTCTTCAATTTTGGGAATTAGGATTTTCCTCATTTGATTAGGTAATTAGGATTACAAT